CCTTCTTTTTTTTTTTGTTGGGGGGTAGTTTGAGACAGGGTCTCACTATGTAGTCCAGGCTGACCTTGAACTCAGTATGTAGCCCAGGCTGGCCTTGAACTGGCTTCCTGCTTCAGCCTCCCAAGTACTGGGATTACAGGTACATGCCATCACGTTCAGTTCAAAACCTTTCCTAAAAACCAAAAAATGTAATATACAGTGATCTCCCCCCATCCAGGAGCCCCAGTGAATGCTTGGAATCAAAAGTGGTACCAAGCTCTATCTATATATTGTTTCTTCCTATATGCTCTGCAGCATTGCCACATAAGACCGAAGCTAGCCTATCCTTCCATGGTGTGAGCCCTGGTGCCTTGTCTGCATTATGGCCCCTGCACTCTGGAGCCATTGTTAGGTAATATACAGGTTTCATGAACACAAGCACTATGGAACCACATTAGGTTCTGATGACTGAGCTGGCTACTGAATGACTAGCGGGAAGGTAGGGTATACAGAGTAGATACACTGGGCAAAAGAATGATTTATGTCTGTACCAAGTTGGCATGGAATGATGTGAGATTTCACCATGGTGCTGAAAGAAGCCTGCAATTTAAAACTTACTAATTGTTTTTTCTGGAATTTTCCATTTACTATTCTCCAGCCACAGTTGGCCTTGCATAACTGAAACCCAAGAAAGTGGCCATGCTGATAAAGGGAGACCGCAATCAATAATTCTGTGTCTAAAGAAAGTAATGCTCATTAACTCTCAATGCCAGCTGATGCCACCTGCTGTTCCCTAGTGAAGGACTAGTTAGTTAGTAGACCACAGTCACCAGCACTCTGTCCTTGCTGCCTCTAAATCTTGCCAAGCCAGAAAGCAGTCACCCTCTACTTTGGGAAACTTTGAGAAGTTGGAAGAGTCAGCTTTTAGGTCTGCCTTGTTCCTCCTGCTGTTTCCTTCTCTTAGTCCTGTGCAGGCTGGCAGAGCTGACTCCTAACCCTCAGCCTCAGCCTGCAGTTCTGATCTTTTCTCCTTTGATGCTAACATTTACCAGACATTTCCTATGTGCTAAGCACTGTTCCAAGAGTCCACCTGCATTATCTTAAGGCCCACATCGTGATGGATTAAATGAGCTATACATTATTGCTGCTGCCATCTGAAGACTGGAGTGACAGGGAGCTGAGGTTCCTTAGTTTGCCCTGTAGCATACAACTCCTTTGTGGGGTCTGGCCATCATGTGACCTTCAGGGCCCGAGTTCTTCATTGCTGTACTCTGGACACCTTTGTAATGTGGCTTCCATGAGTCCATCTCTTCTAAAACACAGCCCCAAAATACCTGTCCTCTGATTTCAGTGATTGGCACACTGAGAAAAACCCCTGAGCAGAAAGGCAGAAAAAGCAATCAAAATGCCACCGCTAATGTCACAAAATCCACGCCTTATTCCTGGGAGCAGCACCCATTTAGAATCTAATTTCTCTTTACAAATAACTCTAACAAGCACTGTCATCTGGCTCCCCAAGTCACAGATTATTAGTCATGGGATGTTAGAGAGTGGGGAAAGGGATAATGGCAGGTGCTGTAATCAAAGGGAGCTGTAGCAGCCTAAGAACCAGAGAGAAATGCTATGGAATGCAGAGTCCGAATGACCAGCAACCTGGACTGTGAAAGCTGTGCGACGTCAGAGCCGCCAGGCTGTGGTGCAATTCGAGGGAGTTGGCAAGTGTCTGGCAAGAGACTGGTAGGATGCCTGGGCTCTGTTAAAGGCAGGAAGTGGGCAGCACGTTGTAGAAAACAATTAAGATAAATCCTCAAGCTTCCCGAGATGCTCAGGGGATTCTGAAAAAGCAAGGTTTTATTGTGAAGGAAAAACCAACAGTCTAGAAAACTAACAAAGAAGCAACTGAGCAGGGTTTTAATTTATAAAAGTGAGACAGGGTGTGGTGGTGCACGCCTGTAGTCCCAGCACTTGGGAGGCTGAGGCAGGAGGATTGCTGTGAGTTCAAGGCCAGCCTGAACTACACAGTGAGACCCTGTCTCAAAAAAGGAAAAAAAAAAGTGAAAGGTGCCCGTGTGGTTGCACTGAGCATGTGCCCACTCTGTGCTACCAGTCCAGACAGGGTCAGCCTTGGTGCTTGGCACTGAGCACAGGAAGCGTCACTGAAGTCCTGGCTGCCAGTGCGTGGGCCATGCCGCTGGACTGGCGCCTCTCATCTCTGCATCCACCCTGAAGTGTGACCAGAATGTACAGCCAGAGAAGAAAGCAGAATGTCCAAGTGAGGGAATAACATGAAGATTTAGAAATATAAAAATCTCTTTCATGGGCTTATAGCTCAGTTTCTTCATCATTAAAAAGGGAAGAGGTTTAGAACTGGTACATTGTGGTTACGTAAGACAAAGTCCTGATGCTTAGTAAATAAATGTTTTAGTATTTAGGGGTAAAGGGCCAAAATAGAGGTAGCCTATCCCCAAATGGTTCAGGGAAAAAAATGTGGCCAGGTAATGTACAGGTATTCTTTGTACTATTTTTATTTTTCGAATTTTTTGGAGCTTTAAAATTCTTTGGAATTATTTTTAAGTGTTTCAAAATAGTTTTGAGGCTTTAAAACATTCATATCATTCCTCCCACTTGCCCCTCTCTAACCACGATGACGTTCTTCCTTTTCCTCAAACAGGTTCCAGGGCTATTAAACTTGCTGCTCCCTCAGCCCAGAATGCTGTTCCACTTTTAGGCCTCAGCAAAAACACCAGACCCCAGAGTGTGCTCCTAGTGCTCCCTTTCCAGAGCAGGCTTCCACCAACTATGGATAATCAGATGGTTCTTTTATTCCCTTAGTGCCCCATTTTAACATACAGTAAAACCTTGGTTTGTGAGCATAATTCATCCCAGAAATACACTTGTAAGCCAAAGCACTTGTATATCAAAGCAAGTTTCCCCATAAGAAATAGTGGAAACTCAGATGATTCGTTACACAACCCAGAAATATTTATATAAAAATGATTACAGTACTGTAATATAACACAAAATAATAAAGAAGATACAAAATATAAAGAAAAATAAGTTAAGCTGCATTTACTGATGTGAGCGAGACAAGAGGAGGGTTGCTGTGTAGGACGACTTTCACTATCACTAATGGAATCATTCCTATCTATGGGCTGAATGGAATCTTATTTTTAAAAGCAACTGTAACAAGGAACCTATCCAATGACATTGTTTTTGCCTCCCTTTGAAGATTTTGTGGAAATGTGACACTGTGTTGTTGTTCAACAGATTGATCACTCGCATTGCTACAGCCTTATTCAGGTAGTGCTTTTCTACAAAATTTTGCAATGTTTCTCACATTTTACACATCTCCCTAATCTCATTTGAAGTGAGGGCTTCCTCTGCCTTCTTCTCCTTCTCTGCAGACGAGATCTCCTCCATAACCTCGTGCTGTTGGGTTATATTGACCATCCACAATCCCACAGAAAGAGAGACGGGGGCGGGGGGGGGGACCATTGGCTCAGTTGTGATCATGTGACATTCCACATCATGTACAACTCCTACTGCAAGACATTGCTCGATTATCAAGTTAAAATTTATTAGAAATGTTTGCTTGTCTTGTGGAACACTGGCAAACAAGTTACTAGCAATCCAAGGTTTTACTATACATACAGTCTTTTCTTCACTATTTTGTTAATGCTTCTGTTTTCTCTCATTGTTAAAATGTAAACATTAAAAATATATACTGCAAGTACACCTTTAAGAACTCTAGCCTAAGGATAATAATTTATGCAAAAAATTATTCTTTGCTCCATTTGTAGAAGCAAAAGAAAAATACAACCAGTATAGTAGCATACTCCTGTCACCCCAGGATTCAGGAAGCTGAGGCAAGAGGACCTCAACTTCTAGATCAGCCTGGGATACATAGCAAGATTTTGTCTACGTTTTTTTAAAAATAAAGAAAAGAAGAAAAAAAAAACCTAAAATATTCAACGGGAGGAAAATGGCCAAATAAATTCTATGATACATTATGCTGCTGTTAAAAAAGAATTTTCACAATAAATGTAAGTTTCATAAATAAATGATTAGGATATGTTGTTAAATGGGGGGAAGCAAGATATAAAACTCTATATACTGTATAAATCCAATTATGTACCTATATAGACATAAGGAAAATCAGAATTGAAAAAATAAGCTCTTTCTCTCCCTCCCCCCGCCCCCGAGTACTGGGGATTGAGCCCAGGGCCTTCACACTGAGCTACATTCTCCATGTTTTAAAAAAATTTTTTTCTTGTTTGTTTTTTGTTTTTTGAGGCAGGGTCTCACTGTATATCCTAGGCCAGCCTTGAACTCAGGCAGCCCTCTTGCCTCAGCCTCTCAAGTGCTGGGATTACAAGCACGAGCCACCACACCTGGCTGCTTTTTATTTTTTGAGATAGGGTCTTGCTAAGTCACTAAGTTGCCCACACTGAGCTTGAACTTGCAGTCTTCCATCTCCGCTTCCCAGTGTGCTGGGATTACCAGCATGTGTCACCACGCCTGACCTGAACTGAAGAAAATATATGAAGATATAAGCAATAATAGGATTAAGTATAATTTTGTTTTAAATTTTTTCTATATTTTGAAGTTTTTTTACACTGAGCATGTACTCATTTAAATAAATTTTCTTAAATTTTCTAAAAACATTAAAAGTAAGATTTGGAGACAAATCTGCCTTACAGAGTAGCCACCGAGCGAGAGAATAGTGGTAGCAGGTACGGTGAGGTGAGGCTGACGGGACTGGGGTTTCGGTTGGTTTGTTTGTTGTTTGTTTGTTTGTTTGTTTTGTTTGTTTGGGGGGTTGGGGTTTTGAGCTCTAGCTTTCAAGGCTGATTACTTTCCGGCTAGGTTTTATTTTCAGGGAAGGGGTTATTTCAGTCACCCTCGCCTCCGCTGGCTCTTTGCCAGCCTCTGTGTCCGAACCCCAGTGCCACGGGCATGGTGCCTTCTCCCCGCGGTGCCAGACCCGGGGCCTGGAGGGTGACCCGCCCGGCTTCCCGCAGGTGGCCGCCGAGTACTTCAAGAACACCACGTTGCTGCTGGTGGGCGTCATCTGCGTGGCGGCGGCCGTGGAGAAGTGGAACCTGCACAAGCGCATAGCTCTGCGCATGGTCCTGATGGCTGGAGCCAAGCCGGGCACGTGAGTCCACGAGGGCCTTCTGTGCTCCCAGGGTGCGGCCCACCCCTGCGGGTCTGACCCTCGGCCGGCGGGGCATCACTTTTTAGCAGGCTGTTCTGGGGTGAGGATGGGATAACAGCCCTCCTCCCCTCCAGGAGCGGTCCCTCAGCGGGTCAGGTTTGAGCCAGTGACGGGCACTCATCATCAGATCCAGTTTACCTGCCGAGCAGCCTCAAGGACAGCAGGTTCAGCATCAGAGGACTCATAGGGAGCACTTGATGGGTCCGCAGAAGTGGTTTCCCACCTGCTTCCCTGAGTGTTAGGACACCCACGGCTGGACACGAAAATGGAGGTCTTCTTGTCATGCAAGGAGATGGAGATATTTCCTCTGGTCCACCCATCCTGAGGTCTTGATGTCACTCAGGACCACCGACCTGAGACTGTTGCATTTGCCAGCCAAGGTGGACAGCGACCCTCCAGTACCTTCCTCTGTCTTCCCTTCTACACCCTAGGCTCCTAGTTCTTACAGAGTTTTACAAAGATGCCCTGATTGTTTGGGGAGCCATAGCACAAATAAACCTTAGCATATTAGTTTTCCACATGTCATTTAGACACACAGATGCCTCAGAGTGAGTTGGGCCTCCCAGTCTGTCGACTGGGCTGCTGACGACAGCTTACTTGACCCCCTTGCCCAGCAATCACCTGTACGAACCCACCCTCCATCTCCCAGGCCAGAGATGAACCTTTTAAGGCTCTCAGTGATAACACCTGTTGCAGCCCAAGCACTGTAGTTTCACCACCATTGCCCTAGGCACACAGTGGCATTTCCTCATGGCGCATTGGTGCCCTGTGGCTCTTGAAATCCTCTGTGTGCTTTTTGTCTTGTCTCTTTATCACCCAGCAAGTTGTCACACATGCAGGACAGACAAACTCATATCACTGTCAGCCTACGCAAAATGCCACCAGGACTGGGCCTTGCTCCAACACCACCCATATGACAAATAGACACTGGCCAAACTGTGCGAAGTCACCTAAAGTAAGAAACATGGGTGGGTTTTTCTGCAGTCCTGGGGATTGGACCCAGGGCCTTTGCTCTAAGCTGTATCATTTATTTATTTATTTATCTATCTATTTATTTATTTTTATTTTTGAGATAGGTTCTTGCTACGTCACTGTGTTGCCCATGTTGGGCTCAAACTCATTATCTTCCTGCCTCAGCCTCCCAGGCATGCTAGAGTAAACATGGGTGGTCTTTATTTTGGCTTATTTTACGGAAAGGCCCATGTCTGTCCAAGCACACAGTACACTAAGTTTCAAAGTCAAAGTCAAATTTGAAGGTTACTTCCTTTCATGTTTTCTTCTAAGCCTGGACTCTCACATCCCATCTGCACAAGTGCACACAAATGGTGACATGGGACAGTTCTATGACTTGGGGACATGACTTTCAGCATGTGGACAGTGGCATGAGGAGGGGCAGAACTGTGAGGCCCTAACATTAATCTGCATGCTCACTAATGACTATGGTGCCTTAGCTGCAAAGCATGGAACATAATGGTGTTTGTGGAACTGCAGAGAAAGAATTCCCCAGACACAAGAGATGCCCATCACTGAGCTCCACCTGATGTCCAGAGAGAGGAATCAGCAAGCCCATAACCTGTGGCCCTTCTAGCACAGCTACACTTTGCTGAAGGAAGGGCTTTCCTGGCTATGTGGCTCACGAAATGCAGTTCATTCATTGGACAGATACTGAATTTATGCTTACAGTGTGCCAAGCTCTGGGAATAGAAGGCTCAATGGCACCCAAATGGGTGGATGCATACCAGTCATGGTTCTTTAGCTCAGCACCATTGGGTGGGTAGGAGACCCCAGAGTTCCCCATGGGGCCCTGGGAGATGGGCCTTCTGCCAGCGCCCTGGCCCCCTGCGTTGTAGGCTGCTGCTCTGCTTCATGTGCTGCACCACCATGTTGTCCATGTGGCTGTCCAACACCTCCACCACTGCCATGGTGATGCCCATCGTGGAGGCCGTGCTGCAGGAGCTGGTCAGTGCTGAGGAGGAGCGGCTTGTGGCGGGGAACTCCAGCACGGAAGAGGCTGAGCCCATCAGTACAGTACAGTTTACAGTTTGCTCCTCCCTGGGCCCCTGCCAGTCTTCCCTATGATATTGCCCAGATTGGTGCCTGGGCCCACAGCGCCTGCCCTTGCTCTCCCCTCTCACCCATGCCAGCCCTGTAACCTGCAGGTCTCTTGGCCCCCATTCCCCCCTCTTCCTTCCTCCTTTACTGATGGGTGCCCCCACTGCTCCTGGCCCCCAGATGTTCACAAGTTACTACAAAGCCCTGGGCCTGACTGGGTCCACGAGCTCCTCTCAACCTCCAGGGCAGAGTGAAGGGAAATCATCCCCCAGCCCACCACCTGTCCCGGCACTGAGCCCTGGGACTACTCTCCCACCCACATGCCAGCTCCAGTTCCACATCTAACTACCTGCCTTTCTTTGTCACTGTAGATCTCGATGTCAACAACAGCCAACCCCCTTTGGAGCTCATCTTTGTCAATGCAGAGTAAGTATGACAGTCCCCTCCCCAGACAGAAGTTCTCAGGGCTCACTGGGGAGATGAGAAAGGATGGGACCATAAACAGCCCTTCCAGGCATATGGACCAGGCTCGGTGTCTTGTCTCCATCCATAGGAGTCACTTGCCAAGATCTCAAGGGCGATTCCCTTGACCCCAGAACACTGCAGTGGTGATAAAGAAATAGAAGGACTAAGACCAAATCTTGGTGGATACAGGAATTTTCTATACAGTTATCAAGTATAATTTCATGAAAATTGATGACCCTCTTAGGAAAATAGTTTATTAATAGAAAAACACTCACATGATAGATGTCACTAGGGATTCTTGGAGAATCACAAAACATTGTATAAATATTAGATGTAGTCTTACCAGATTTGGTCTTGTTATACATGGCAGAGAAAAATCAGGTGACAGGTAGGGGAGTGGGGACAGTGAGTGACACAGCCAGATGATAATACAAAGGAGAAGCTGGGAAAGGAAAAATACAGTCACATTCATGTGAGGTGGATCTATTAACAGCTGATCTCTTTTGGAGATTGTATACTAAATGTGGTCTTCAAGGTACTCTGTGATAAACACATTTCAATGCTGCATTTATAATGGGCTTTGCAATTTGTCTTTTTCATAAATACTGGTGAGCTCACATTCATCAAGTGAAATCAGCATATGTTAAGGGATATATGCAGAAGGAAGCCATCAGGAAATGGCTTTACTTTTCTCTTAGCACTGTCTTCCAGCACAGCCTGTTGGCTTGCTCTCCCCCACCCATAGCTCTTCCAGTTCCTTTCAGATACAGTGGCTTCCTGTTCTCATACTCCAAAGTTCAGCCCAGACTCACAGTAGAACTCCAACCTCTCATCCAATTTCTACAACTCTGCTTGTGCCCACTCTACCCTCTCTTAGAGGTGACCTCGCGTTTTTCACGTCCCCTTCCCCCTTCTGCCCACCTGCCATGCTGGTTCAGACTTCTCCAGGTTGGAGTATCTGGGCTGGAGTCCCTGTAGCTTGGGTTTGGGGCCTTCTGAGTTTCAGGCCTGGTCTTTCCCTTGGGGGACCAATCACAGGGTGTGTGGAGTATCCCCTCAAGGTGAGCTCTACAGAGCCCAGACCCAAGGATGGCTTGTGCTCTTGGGTGTCCATCCATGCCTTCATGGTGCTATGTCTGAGTGGCTGCCTCTCCACTGAGCCTTGGTTTCCAGCTGGCTCTGCCTCCGGGGCAGGGCTTTTTCCAGGTGGCTCTAGCCCAGGTAGCTCCTTTCCCATGTCCCCACCCTGAGAAGCTCAGGCTGCTCCTGCGCCCTGGGTCTTTTCTCCTAGCTTTGGCCTCTCTGGCCACACTACACCAGCTCCTTGCCTTTGCTCTTTCCAATGAAAGTAGTGGCCTATATACTTCAAGGCAGAAGCCAGAGCTGTCCCTAGCATCCTGGGCTGAAGGGACAAGACTGCAGGGGGTTCTCGAGACCAGCCCCTCCCTGCCAGCTGAGGATGTCCTGACTGACTAGTGCAGTCAGTTTAGGAAGAAAGGAGGGAAACATATGGCATCTTCTCAAAAGCATGCTCCACTCCAAACCTGTCGCCTTCTGTCCTCCGCGGTGGGAGCCACGTCCCGTGTGTGTATCCAACACTCTCAAACACTCTCATCTCTCTTCACAGTGGGTGGGCTGGTGGCACCCACTGTCCTCATGACTAGGACACACCAGAAACATCTCCTGAGCACTCAGCGTGCTGGTAATTTCAATAGTCCTCATCTTCCTCTGTCTTCATGGCAAAAGTTGGGGTTCTGCAGGTGTGGGAGGGACTCGGATGTGCAGTTAACTGTCCCCATATATGCAATTGCTGACCAGAATTCCCCCATATCTCGGTCTCTCTTACTTTTCCCTGGGTGCAGTTCCTGTCCCCTCAGATAGGCACATGACAAGAATCACTTTCTAGACAGGGGCGAGGTCAGGGCTCTCCAGTGAGACACAGTGGCTCCTGTCTGTCCACCACTAGCATCCCAGCACTAAAAAGATGCAGATGGAGGTAGTGATGCCTGCAGCACGGATCTCTTATGAGGATTAATAATGTCATAAGGAATAAAGTCTGTCTTTTAAGGGCGCAGCACCTAATAAGCACTGCACGTTCAATATTACTAGGAGTGTCACTGTTGCTTCAAAGGAAGCCAGCCACCCCGATTCGGGAGGAAGCAAGCCCTGTGGTTCCATGAATCTTTACAGCACTGAAAAGGCTAGGAAGATTGGGATGAGATTAGTCCTCTCTGTAGGCTAGAAACTGGATCCAATAGTTTAAGTCCCTTACAGCAAACACTAAACTTGAGGAAGAGAACTTGCCTCTCATGAAATCTGGTCCGCTATAGTTTCCCTGTTTGCTTTGCTTCATTCCAGCACATCAGTGGCAGACTTCGCTTCTCTGATGCATAACAAGGTATGGCCTCAGGTTTTTCCTGTGCTTTGAGATCACTTGAAAGTCCCTCAAGCCAACTGAGGGCACAAGATGCTGGCAGCTTCTCCTACAGCCCAGCAGCTGCCATGGATGTAAAAGTGGAGAAGGGTCACACAGATCAGACATAGAAGGGCTGGTCAGGCTCTTGGCAAGAGCCTGGGTATTCTGAACCCCAGCCCCAGGTACTGGGCTTAGCCACATAAAGTACAAGTTGACCTTTTTTATGGCAACTCAAGACTCAGTCATCCAGATTTCAAGAGCCACAGATTCAAACTTAGGATTTTTGTCAGCAGGGATTCCTTTACAGATCTTACTACCAAAGGGACATATTTATGGGGAGAGCAAAGTTCACCCACGTGCTGCTGTTCAAACCCAACCCACCCTCCAAAGCCAGTTTTAGGTGTCTTTGTGAGAAGTGTAAAAGGGCAATAAAACTGTGGACTTTGCTGTAGTGGGTTTAAAAAATTTTTTGTGATAAAAAAAATAATAAGAGTCCTTCACACTAGTGATGTCCCAGAAAGTCAGGCTCTTCTAGCAGAACAAAGTCATGTTTTCCAGCTTTCGAGAGCCTCCTGGGATGAGTGCTTGACACCAGTGGACAGAAGCTGTGCAGAGGTCAGCCTGGGCAGTGTTCTCAATTCACGCCCTCCCCAGCTTCTGGTCTCTGAGTCCCACAGTGCTGAGGCATGGGGTGGCCCTGGGGTGGTCAGGGATGCTTCCCAGGCACCTGGGTCACCACATCCTCTCCCTAATAGTGTGCTGGCCTCTGTCCTGACAGAACCTGAATGGTGTGCCCATGATCACCAAGCCCATCAGGTCAGCAAACCGACACCAAGGCAAGAAGCTGCAGCCACTGCAGGTAACAGAATCCTTCCTACCTTCTGGCCCTGTTTCCTACATAACGTGCTTGGTGCTTTCCAGGGGCGCTGGTCCTGACACTGATGGCATCAGGCTAGCGACCTGTCACCAGGCACTCTTTACCCACAAGCACTTCTGCCCTGCATGTCCCATGGTGGCCAAGCATCTAGCTCACTTGGCTTCAGCAAGATGTTCCACCCTCATGGGCCTCAGTTCCTTCAACTACAAATGCTGAGGTTGATCTAGATCAGAGGTACACAAGGTCCTTCTCAAAGGTGCTTCAGGGACACTGCAAATATTCTGTTTTAGTATCCCAAGACTGACTGCACTGAAATTGCTTTTCTCCACAAAGATTTCCCTGATACTGTACCATGGCTGTAAATGAGGCAGAGATATAAATTCGTTAAGTCAAGAATGAAGACTTCATGAGGGGAGCACCTTGATTCAAATCCAATCTTCCTGACTATACACCCCCTGCCTGGTAGATTTTGTTACAAAATAGATAGATGCCACTTCAATGCTGCATTTTATACAGTGAGGATCATGGGAAACCTCTGGGTCCCTCAGTGGTCTCTTCTGTCTCTGATCACTTTGGGCCTCCTGTGATTCAGGACAGTGGTTAAGAGCCTTGAGAAATGTGGCAATGTGGTCTCTCTCATTGGTTTTCTTAAGACCTGAGCTGCTGACATTTGTACCAGATTCTCTGTGTCTTGTGAAGAATTAGTGAGGGTAGCCAGGCCTGCCATGGGGAAGGGGCACTTGCTTTAGTCCACACTTCAGGCCAGAGATCAGCACCTCTGGGACATGGAAAACCCATTGTCTGGACCAAGCAGAGCCTGAGAATTCCCTGGCAAGGCTGAGGCTTATAGGCAAGAAGGAAGGAAAAAGTAGAGGAAAGGCCAATTGGTAAGAAGGAGAAGAGGGAAGTGAGAATCACACACTTCAACCTTCTTTCCAGGAAAGCTAGGTTCTTCTGTAATCCAAGAACTGTCGCTCATACTCCACATAGAATGACCATTTCCTGATCATTCAAATGACAGAAACCAGTTTTACTGGAGTTCAAGTAAAAAGCAAACCATGTTGTCAGTATTAATAACATTAATATCACAAAAATTGTAATAGCTTACCATTCATTAAATACCAGGACATGATCTAAGTACCCTATATTTATTACCTCACTTATTCTTCACAATATGGCAGAGCAAATATGGTTTTCCCCATTTTATAGAAGCAGAAACTGCACCTCAAGGCATGCCCTAGTGGGTATACAGTAGAAACTGGAATTTACCTTTCTGACACCAAAGCTCAAAACCTTTCCTCTGCACCATGGTTCCTCCCATCCCTCAGGCTCTGTATGCTGGACAGCCCAAGTCAGTTTTTTTTCCTTTGGTAGGAAAAGCCACTAGTCCTGACTCGAGGCTCCAGGAACCAAGAGCTGAACAGAAAGTGCAGATCCCACCATGACCAGATGATCTGTAAGTGCCTCTCTCTGAGCATATCCTACGCGGCGACCATTGGCGGCCTGACCACCATCATTGGCACCTCCACCAGCCTCATTTTCCTGGAACATTTCAACAAGTAAGTCATTCATTCAGTCAGGAAACACCTACCAACTTCCCAGTGGGCATCAGGACCTGGGCTAGGTGCTGAGGGTGTAGCAGCAGAGGAGATGGGTGGTCTGTACCAAGAGGGAAAAGACAAGGGAGCCTTTACAATTGAGTGACCAGAGAAGTCCCAGATTTGGCTAGGAATGCTCGCCTGTCTAGAGGAAGAAAATGCTCCCCAGAGAGGTGGAGATGAAGTGGCCACCTGAAGGATAAGCCAGAGTAGACCAGATGAAGGGAGGTTTTCCAGAAAAAACTGTGTAGGAGGCTCCACAGCAAGAGAACAGAGGACACAAAGTAAATGATAGAGGGCCAGTGGATGCCAGGGAGGCAGACAGGTGGAGCCCAAAGTGCTCAGCGAGACCTGCGGGGGAGCTTGGATATCACCTGAAAGGCAGTGGGCAGCCTTTACTGAATGTGAATCAGGGAGTGAGGTGAGCAGATTTATAGTTTTAAAAACTTACTCTGGATGCAAAATTGGGGAACAAATTGGAAAGCAGAAAGCAAGAAGACAATGTGGGACACTGCTACAGTCACTCAGGAGAACTGCTGGTAGCTTTGGATGACAGTGACAGAGAGGATGAAAAATGGTCAGTCTGAGAGCTATTCAGAGGTAACTTGATGACTCTTGGTAGGATTAGCAAGAGAGACCAAGCTGACTCTCAGGCTCCTGACTTTAACACAGAGAAACAGAGGGAAAAGTTGAAGAATGAGATTTTTTTGAAAAGTGGACATAGAGGTTGAGATATCCAGTTGGAGATATGGCTCTGAATCTCAAAGGAACACTTAGGCTGAAGGCACAGATTTGGAGTCCATGGCCTGCAGATGGGCCCAATGCTTGGTTTAATGCTATGCTGGCACTAAAAAATTTTTCTTTTTTTGGTACTAAAAATGGAACCCAGGGCCTCATGCATGCTAGGCAAGTGCTCCACCACAGAGCTACATCCTCATTCTTTAGAAATTATTAATAGTGTTTGAGAAAGGGACCCCCATTTCCATATTTCCCTTTGGTAATGAAAGCCATACGGGTAGAGATCACTTGGAAGGTATAGAGTGGGGCAAAGGTCATGAAGATTAAGCTCAAATATCTAAGGCAGACTTCAAAGAGAAGAAAACACCTATCCTCACATCAGACAGGAAAGGAAATCTGGTCATAGCAGTGCCATTCTATTCAATAAGGGAAATGTTTCAGGAAGGAGAGAGTGGCTACAGTATTGAACGTCAGTGAATGGTGACACAAAATAAGGAGGGAAATGCAGCCATCACACTTAGTGACAGGGTGGTTACTGCTGACCCAGACTAGGGGCATTTGGTCAAAAGGTGGAAAAGGAAGCCAGATGTTGGGCCGGGGATTTAACTCAGTGGTTCCAGTGCCTGCCTCACAAGCGCAAGGTCCTGAGCTCAATCCCCAGTACCAAAAAAAAGAAGCCAGATGTCAGTGAGCTGAAGAGTAAGATGGAGATGAGGAAATGGAGAGTTGACTGTTACGGGAAGAAGGAGTGTGGGGGATGATAAAAGGAGAGAAAAGAAAGGACAGGAAAAGGCAGAGGAAAGGGGAAAGGCAGTAGGGAGGAAAATGGAAGGGGAGGGAGGAAGGACCAAAGGATGCCTCAGACCTGATACCCAGGACGAAGCCCCATGGGCTCTGCACACCACTTTACTCTCCCTGGGGTGTTGTTCTTGGCATTGTGAACGGCTAACCCCACAGTTAGTTCTGTGTGTGTGTGTGTGTGTGTGTGTGTGTACACGTACTTGGAGATTCCAAATCCCATTTATGGGCACCATTAATACCTACAACCCTTATGAGGCTCTAGAGCCCAAAGTTCTCCAGAACTGCTGCCTTATGTCCCCTATCTAAACTCACATTCATCCTGTGAGTTTACGATAAATAACACCAGAGTTCCCTCTCCATTTTCTGTGGTCTGAAAAGGGAGATGAGTAGCTTATCAGCCAGAATATTTATATAATTTAAAGGCAAACACATCCTGAGTACAAAGTGTATACACTTTAGTAGTACTGATTTTAGTTGCTTAGAAGCCTGTTTAGCTTACTTCATGAGTCGTCTGGCCTCTGTACAGCTGCAACTAATAAATGAGTTCTAGATGATGTCCTACCACACTGTTATCTCTCCTTAGCCTTGCTGTGTGTCTTAAGGGGCATGTAGCTATCGTGTCTAAATACCAACTCTACCCAAATTCTTCCTTTCCGAATTGCTGACCTGTTTCTCCCTCCAGCCAGTACCCAGCCGCAGAGGTGGTCAACTTTGGCACCTGGTTCCTCTTCAGCTTCCCCATATCGCTCATCATGCTGGTCATCAGCTGGTTTTGGCTGCACTGGCTGTTCCTAGGCTGCAAGTGAGTCCCACGCTCAGCCAGCAAAGCACCACGGCTCTGCCATCCAACCAAAGGCCACGGCACCGTCCCGGAGGGCTCTGAGGACAGTGAACCTGTGCAGATATAGTCTCTTCCTATCATTCTGCTCTTCCCTACACTCTGCACTTCACTCCTGGCTCTACAATGAAATGTTCTTGATTCAAAGTAATGGGTTAGAGGGCCTGGATGATTTATAAAAAGTCCGGACTGGGGGCTGGGGATTTAGCTCAGTGGTTCCACCACCTGCCTCGCAAGCGGAAGGACCTGAGTTCGATCCCCGGTTGCAAAAAAAAAAAGTCCAGACTGGAGAGGGTTTAATGAAGTTTTATTGCTCTCAAAGCATACACAGTAATTCCAAATACCCTTAGAAATATGATTCCAAGTAAAAGTTGTGTTAGGTTTAATTTTATAGACAAATTTCAAATTTGTACTTTGTGTTTGGGATATGTTCACATACCTCAAAATAGCAAGTTAGATATATCCCTTGTCATATTATTTCTAATAGTAATCCACTTAGGAAGCCTTTTCTTCATATTCTCAAACACTCAAAGGGAAGATGTATATGATGCTAAACAGCCCATAGAGCCCAGCACTCCACTGGTCAAGAAATGACCTCTGGGCAGACTTCCTCTTTACTGCGGCCACATCGCTGATGGCTGTGTATTTGTGTAGCTCCAATACTGTGATCTAAGACTAACATCCACTTCTACCCCAGACAAGCTCTATCTCTAGAGAAATGAATGTCTGCACATATACACACACTCACATTTGAGTGTGGGGGACACAGACATACATGTAGATGTGCACACCATATCACACAGCTTCTTTTACTTATGAACAAGTGTGTAGAAACAACCCCATGTGCACAACCTGCGCACAAGTCCCTAGACATCACCTCACATTGATACACCAGGGACAGGCACAGATGGACAGACCCAAAGGACTGGGGGAGGTGAGTGGAAGGTTGGGTAACTGGGCAGACAGAAGCAGTGAGAACAGGAGAGGAATGGAGGGACAGCATGAGGAGAAAGGTGGCCACAGCAGTGGGTAGTTTAGTAATAGCTTAATATCTATTCTCCTCTGGGCCTCGGAATCATGTTTTCCCTACTTGTGTGCTCATTCTCCCTTTTCAGCTTTAGAGAGACTTGTTCTCTGAGCAAGAAGAAGAAGACCAAGAGGGAAGAGCTGTCAGAAAGGAGGATCCAGGAGGAATATGAGAAGCTGGGAGACATTAGGTAAAAGTCACTGTGGCCCTTTGCCCCTTCTCCAGGAGAGAGCACAGCTGCAAAGGGAAGCACAGAGCAGCCTTGTTCCTGACAGTCCCTGACCTCAGGGGAATGTCCACAAGTACAAGTCCAGGCACTGAGAAGATGCTATTCAATGCCGAAGCCAAGCTGGCCTAGATTCCAGGGGCTGCCTCTCCCCTCGGCTGTACTCAGAGTCTGAGGTGTAACCTTGGCATGAGGTGGAACCCGTGGATGGGGCAGAAACAGAAAGAACAACAGAAAGACAGAAAAGCCCTCTTCTTGGAACATGCTGGTTTCTGCCAAAGTTGGGTTGCCTGGCATTGCTCAAGTGGGCCACCACAGTGATCTAGTGGTCACTCCCAGGCACTGGGGGACATGGTGCTGTATTTAGAGTGCAACCCAGCATCAAATACAGACTCATAGACAGAGGTCCAAGAATTCACTGAATACCCACTGCGGCATACGCCTGTTAATCCTAGCTATTTAGGAGGCCGAGGCAGAAATATTACAAATTAGAGGCCAACCTGGGCAACCTGGTGAAATCCTGTCACAAAATGAAAAATAAAAAGAGCTGGGGACCTAGTTCAGGGTATAGCATCCCCTGGGTCCAGTCCCCAGTACAGCCCAAAAAGAAAGAAAGAAAAAAGAAACCCCTAGCCAAGCCTTGGCCACTTCTATCAACATTTACACAGCGACCCAGCATTCTGTTTAATGCTATTTCTCTTCTTACAGCAATCGGCATGTACAACTTTGGATAAAAACAATTCTAATAGAAACTCATTCTTTAAAGCTTTTAAGTTATAAAAGTTCACTGTAAAGCTTTATAAAATACAGGAAAGTATAAGAAAAAGTTAAAAATTGATTTGGATTCTTTAGCATCCCAGTATTAACTGTTCACACCTGTTAAGATGATATAGCTCTTTCCACACTTTTCTGTGCAAAATTACGTCTTTTTGGTAAAATTCATATGGTATAACTTGCCTTTTCTCATTTAACACTGTATTGTTACTGTGTCCCCGTAGTATTAATTCTGCTGTGGAAACATGACTATTAATGTATGCATCCCACCTTAACACATGTAGTTGTACCAAAATGTGTTCAGTGTCACTGAATATTATTAAACAACAAAATTGTTGTTCCTATTTTTTAATGGGTAATAATTTGGCATATGTTTCCAGTTATTGTCTTAGATGAAGGGAATGACCTAATTTAAGGTTCCTGATGTGTATGCTCAGGTGGTCTCAGAAAGATCATACGGATTCCTACTCTGCCCTGCAGAGTCTGAGGGGGCCCACTGCCCTTCACCCCCTTTCAGTATTTAGGTGAAGTTGTTTGGTAGTTACCAAACAGTGCTGTGTGCTTTCCCTTCCTACCCAAATCTCTCTAGGAAAGCTGGTGAATGTCATGTGTTCTGGCTTCACTCAGTCAGTTCTCTTCCCATTGCACTGCCTGCCACTCTCGGGGTTAAGCAGTGGCCACTTTACATTTCGACTGTCACATGTCGCAGTTCTGGATCCAGGAGTTCCAGAAGCAAAGCGCAAAAGCTAAAAGAAACTCCCCAGTTCCTGGAGCAGGTCTTTCTGTTTTATTTTATAGCTACCCTGAGATGGTGACTGGATTTTTCTTCATCCTGATGACTGTGCTGTGGTTTACCCGGGAGCCTGGCTTTGTCCCTGGCTGGGATTCCTTCTTTGAAAAGTAAGTGAGGGCCGGGGATTTAGCTCAGTGGTTTCGCTGCCTGCTGGCAAGCACAAGAACCTGAGTTTGATCCCTGCTACCAAAAAAAAAAAAAAAAAGAAAAGTAAGTGATATGGTTTCCTCCTTGAGAACCACCTCCTCAGCCAGTAACCACCAGCAGGTGCCCCGTGTCCCACCACAGCTCTGAGGGCAGACACAAGCCAGGAAGCCTTTGTCTCCCGAGAAATCCACTTTCTAGGGAAGCAGCAGTGTGGAGTCAGGAAGGAGGCACAGTGTTTGGAACCCCAGGCAGTGGCTGGGATCTGGTGCTTCCACTGACCAGCTGTGGGGCCTTGGTCTTCTTACACAAGCTCCTGGAAACAGGTGTCTCATGGGGTGCTGTGAGAGTTAAAGGAGAAAATGTGTCTAAGGTACCAACTGAAAAGGGACTATGGGCCTGCAGAGCTGAAGCTTTGGAAGGAAGAAAATACCAGGAGAGATACACACCAGCTTCCAGGCCACTCCTGCCCATGCCCTCAAGGGTGCAGACCCCCAGGTACAGGTGCAAGCTCTCCAAGCACCAGCTTCTCATTTGAGGAGGGACATAGAAGGAGTACAACCTCACAGAGAAGCTCAGGCTTTTCTGTTATTCTTCATCTGAACATCGCTCCTTCTAGGCCTTGCCCCAACTCATGGGTCCATTGGCTCCCACTAAGACATGTCCACTTGGCAGGCCCTGCACCAAGACATTAGCTGTTGCCCATGAATCCACCATGGGACACCTGGCAGCAACTGGGAAGAAGCCAAGTTCTCAGCCGTAAGAAGGAAAAACTAGAGTCATTTATAGGTAAATGGATGCATATCGAGGCCATACTCTTAAGTGAAATAAATAGGACACACATGTGTAAATACCGAATAGTTTCTCTAGTGTGAGAAACTGAGAGTGTAAACAAGGGTTAAAATGATTAAAATGAATAACTGATAATTTGAAATAGGAAAAAAGGTCCAAAGATGAAGGAGTGAAGGGAGGGGGAGGGGAAAGGAAAAGAGGGAAAGGAAAAACTATGAGAAAAGAAAAAAAAATGGAAATGAAATCTATGTAAATAGGGAAGGGTGGAGGGGTGAAGGGCGCACAGGTAATGGGGAAAAAAAAAAGAACCAAGATACATCATGTACAGGAACAAGCACCCAATGATAAATGTAAATGAATCGTTTACCTAAAATGTACCAATAAAAGAACTAAAAAAAATAAAAAAGAAGAAGCCAAGTTGCTGTCACCCCTAGACTAGGTCCTAAAAATAGGCACTGTGTTCAGACTGACTGTCCTGAGACTCAGCTCACTCCCAAGGATTCCTAACCCTCCTCCTCCATCCATGTTTGTCTCTTTACTAGGAAAGGCTACTGCACAGATGCCACAGTCTCCGTCTTCCTGGGCTTCCTCCTTTTCCTCATTCCAGCCAAGAAGCCCTGCTGTGGGAAAAAGAAAGATGGTAAGAGAAGGTCCAAGGGAAGAGTTGGGGATGCCCAAGTCAGAATATTCTAAAGGAGACCCTTTAGCCTGCCCTGAAACAGCAGGGAGTCTCCCAGATTCTCCAGTTCACCCACTAGTCCCCATCTCCACAAACCACACCAGGCAAGGCTTATCTGGCTATCCACTGCTCTCCTCCCGTGATCCAGGGAGAAGCCATGAGTGCTCCCTGGGGACAGAGCCCATCATCACATGGAAGGACTTCCAGAAAACCATGCCCTGGGAGATTGTCATCCTGGTGGGAGGAGGCTACGCCCTGGCTTCTGGCAGCAAGGTAATCCTTCAGTTCTGTTCTCACAGGTCAGATGTTCCTCCAGAACTTCTAGCCTTGGGAGAAAAGGCTCAAAGTAGCTGAGGAGAACACGTGGTCACTAGGTCATGGAGGACAGCAATAGATCAGGACAGGTGTTCTGCCCTGACCTCCTGACCTTCCTAGTGCTGCTGGGAACAGATTAGGTCAGCTGTGCCCCGAGTCATGGACATGGGGGTTCAAGCCTTTCAGGTCCCACACTGCTGCCAGCAAAAGGTTCAGTGGGTTTTGCAGCCATCTCCTTCTGGGGTCTGACAGTGGGGACAGGCAATGGGTCTATAGGGTGCCAGAGATGCTCCAAGTGCTGATGCAGCGGACTGTCCTTCTGTTGATCCATACATGTAGATTGAGCAACTGCAGAGAATCTTTGCTGAAGCCAATGTAAAATTTTCTTGATTTCCTAGTTGGGGACATTTGGGATGAGATCATTTTAGTGGGGGTGGTGGTAAATAGTTGAAGTTCCTAATGTGTGAGACCTTTCTGAAACAGAGAACAATCCTAAGGATGAATCACATTAAGACTTGGGTTTTCTCCTCTACCTTGTTTATCTGCATCAGCCCATCCCAAATGTTCTCTTTGATTGCCCGCTCACTGTGGGCCGAAATGCTGTCTGCATCTCTGATCACCAAGTCACAGAATCCTATGCTGGGCAAGAACCTCAGAGGACACTGAGCCCATCTCCTCCCCAACTGGACATTTCTCTCCAGGACACCCTGGGTTGGACTCCTCAGGCACAGGGTACTCCCTGTGCAAAGGATACCTGCTTTTTGTCTCAGGCCAGTTGGTCTTTACTTTCTGCACATCATCGCTGTTGGGTTTGGCTCTATTCTCTGGTACTTTCTCCTAGGTAGTTAATTATTAAAATAAATAACTTGCTGGATTTTTCCCAGCTAAAGCTAGTTAGCCCTTATAATCATTCTTTGAAAATGTTGCCATCTTGGTCTCTCGCCTCAGGACTCATCACAGTTTGCTCTGGATTTATTCAAACATGGTCCAGGGTAGTCAGTGTGCTGCAAAGCGGACTAGTTATATTATCCAACCTGCCTTGCATCCATGATGTAAGCACCACCTGCATTTTATAGAAGCTTTTATAAGGCTTCCTGACACACATGTCAACATTTCTGTTGAAACTGCGTTATCACAACCCCTCATTCTTTTTATTGGTAGTCACTATTAAACCTTAATCTCTTCTGTCCATCCTGTATATATGTTGTCAATATTTCTAATTCTAAGAATAGAATATTATATTTATTATTTATTTGTTTGTTTGTTTATTTATTTACACAGGGTCTCTCTTTGTAATTCAGGTTGGCTCTAAATTCACTATGTAGCCCAGGCTGGCCTCAAACTCATGGTGATTCTCCTGCCTCAGCCTCCCGAGTGCTGGGATTACAGGCGTGCGCCACCACACCTGGTTTATTGTATTTATCTTTAATGAATTTTAATCATTAATTTTTGCCTGAGTCTAGGCCAGAAAGACCTTTTTCCTTAATGAAAATCATGCATGTCCTAGAGATACTACAGTTGCTCTGTAAAACCTGTTGACTCTACTAATTTTAATACTATAATAATTCAAGTAAAATTTATATGATTTCTACTGAGTTTGAAATAATTTCAGAGTCTTGGACTAGTGAGGAAAATTCAACATGAAATGTTTTCATGCCATGGGTTTAAAAAATTAAGAATTCCTGTGGTTTTTTTCTAACTTTGCAATCTAATGTATCCATTCATTTTAAATTATAGTATAAAAAGAGTTCTGCTGGAAAATTAATTACCATAAGATTGTTTGACTTTATTTACTATTTAGATAACACGGTAAATAAAACTACAATTTTTTTTCATAAAATACACCATTTCCACTCAATTAACTGCTCTTCCCTCTTGCCTGTGACCAACAAGCAAAGTTTCAAGCGTTGCAAGAGGGAGCAATTACAGAGTTCTTGTGGGCTTCGAGGCACTGTACCAAACAGGGACTGACACAGGGTCCACATTCTGGGTCTGGCACTCTTAGTCACTGAAAGAACAAAGGAAGAAAAGTTCTCCATGGCGAAATAGCTACAACTGAGAGAATTCTGAAGGCCTCAAACATCAGTTGTCTCTGAGCTTGCCATGATGTGGTGAGGGTTCTGCAGAGGTCAAAACAGCTTGTGATGAGCTTGAGAAAGAACCTGCAGACAGTGTGATGAAGGTGATCTTTAACAATAAAACACAAGGAGCAGGACTTACAGCTGGAAGAATCATAACATGTCTCACCTTTCTTTCTGCCCTCCACTGCTTTATTGCCTTTGTCTCTTAAGGGATCCATTAGAAGAGTCCAAGCATGTCACCATACAAGGGAGAGGAGGAAGGGAGAATGCATATGGCAACCTTTTTAGTACAAAAACTCAGTGGTAGCTGGGCATGGGGCACACTCTAATCTCAGCACTCTGGGAGGCTGAGGCAGGAGGGTCACAAATCCAAGCCCAGCCTGGGCAACTTAGCAACTTAGTGAGATTCTGTCTCAAAAAATAAAAAAAGGGCTGAGGGTGTAGCTCAATGAAAAGACCTTAAGTTCAATCCAATACCCAGTACCAAAACAAAAACCTCCATCCTTCATTTTTTAGGAGACAAGAGGTAGCCCTCACCATTGGCAGATGAACATCTTCCAACCCAACAAATTATTCCAAATGGAAATATTATTTATTTGAACAGATGTGTATAAATGTTGCTACTGCAAGATTCAATCTTTCCAAAGCAGTGGCAGCCAGTAGATGTCAGCTATGATGGGACTTAAACCTGAACCAGGTTGGGGCTGAATGACTATGCTGTAGCCAAGTGAGGCACCTTTGCCAGTAAACGGAGATAGACTTCTAATTCCTCACCCTTCATTACAGATAAGAAACTTCCAGGGACGGGGATTTAGCTCAGTGGTTTCGCTGTCTGCTGTGCAAGTGCAAGGACCCGAGTTTGATCCCCAGTACCAAAAAAAAAAAAAGAGAGAGAAACTTCCAGTGTTCAGTCCTGCATGGCCCAAAAAATGAAACACAAGAAAAATTACTATCCAAAGAGGTTGGTGGTTTGTTTCCCTGCTTAGGTGATAAAAGAAATGGAGTTTGGGCCGGGGATTTAGCTCAGTGGTTTTGCCGCCTGCTGCGCAAGTGCAAGCGCAATGACCCAAGTTCAATCCCCGGTACCAAAAAAAAAAAAAAAGAAATGGAGTTCAAAAGCAGAAAAAAAGGATGAACTTGGCACTCTGTGGAAAGAGAACTACTGAGTTGATGCACAGGAGCAAGGAAGTCAGAAGCTGGAGACAGGAGGAGATTGACATTGAGGGGCAGAGTGAGGGGCAAAGACCTCCAACCCCTACCGAGCCAGAGTCCTAGGAAGGGACACAGCAATAGGGCAGTGGCTCTGCCTGTCCCACGATGACTGGTGGACCAGAAACCCAAAGATTGAATGAGACAAAATTATAGCAAAGACATTTCTGGGCCACAAAAATTACTGAATCCTAAGATGAGGCTGTCCCTGGCTCTGTCAGACTAAAGACAGACTGGATAGGCCCAAGTGGTCTCTTCCAGACGGTGCTTCTGACCCTTGGAAATCTAAGAACCCATCTGGAATGTGTGTTACTTCTTGACCTCTTACCCGAATGCCTCTTTCTGCAGAGTTCTGGCCTTTCCACATGGATTGGGCAGCAGATGCTGTGCCTGAGCAGCCTCCCGCCCTGGGCTGTCACCCTGCTGGCATGCATCCTGGTGTCCATTGTCACAGAGTTTGTCAGCAACCCAGCCACCATCACCATCTTCCTGCCCATTGTGTGCAGCCTGGTGAGTAGACCAGGGCCCCAGACCCACAGTGAAGGCCTGGCTCTGGGGAGCAGCTTACCACAGCCTTTACTGACTGGGGTTCAAACCATAGCTTGAAGTTTGTCAAAGGGCAATTAATACATAAGAAGATATATTAATAAATCACAGCAAAAGTTTTTAAAACCCTTCCCCAAAAGAGGAGTATTAGTTCAAGGGAAGCCCTGAATAAAAACAAAAGAATGGACACAATAAGCTAAAACTCTAGAGTTCCATTTCCCCACAATCATCATCAACTTTTCTCTCCTGAGATAAAACCTAACAGTAGGCCCAGAGAGGTAACCACAGAAAATGGAATAAAACACACACAGCTACAAACACTAAATGCACAGGTCTAACAGTCATCGAGACCTCCACCCATTTCCACTGTGCCCTGGGAGATGCTGAGCATTGAGAAGAAGGCCAGCCTCACCCTGGGCAGCAGGTCAGTTTGTTACCAGTGCAACAGGAGAGGCAGCAGCTGCCAGATCTTAGCCTGGTGAAGTAGCCCCAAAGATAATGCACATGCTGTATCTGTCCCTTTGAGGAGGAGGAATCCCCACCCCATCTCCAGGAAAACAGACTCCTCGTGGTCTTTCTAACCCCACAATCTCTCCAGCCACTCTCTTTGCTCATTGCTTAGTGTCTTCCATTTCTCCCATCTGTCATCTCACTGTGTGGGCACCAGAGTGGATTTAGTGAAAGCATAGCAACAGAGAGCAACACCATGGGTTCAATCCCAAATAAAGCAATTTGTTTTCCTAGGAAAAAACCCTCAGCTCTGCACCCCAAGGATGAGGAATCCTTGCTTCAATCAAAGCAGCTTATTTGTGAGAATTTTGTTTGAAAAAAGGATTTTTCAGCTGAAGAATAAAGTTTAAGTAGGGTATGGTGGTGCATGCTTGTAATCCCAGCACTCTTGGAAACTGAGGCAGGATCACAGGTTTGAGCTCAACCTGGACAACTTGGTGATTTAGCAAGACCCTGTCCCAAGACTAAAAATAAAGACTTGGAGATTCATTGTGAAGGCCCTGGGTTCAAACCCAAGTACTGCAAAACAAAAACAAGAAAGGAAGGAAGAAAAGAATGAAAAAGAGAGGGAGGGAGAGAAGGAAAAAAAACAAAAGAACAAGTTTTAAGAATCACTTCCTTAACATAGCACCAAAAAATCAAAACATCCCTTCTAGAATTATGTGAGTTTTTATGGGCAGCAAGTGAACAGGAGAGGCCCATTCGGGCCGCTATGAATACTGTGTGTCCCAGAGGACAGGGACCTCACTAGCCTGAGCTCATGGTGTCCAGCTAAGGTTACCCAACACCACGCACCATTTAAAGCATGTCTGTGCACAGGAAATGCAAGCCCAATCTCAAAGTTAATGTTTCTGTGACTTCTCTCTTCTCCTAGTCCGAAACGCTGCACATTAACCCACTCTACACTCTGATCCCAGTCACCATGTGCATCTCCTTTGCAGTGATGCTGCCAGTGGGCAACCCCCCCAACGCCATCGTCTTCAGCTATGGGCACTGCCAGATCAAAGACATGGTGAGTGGCAGGCAGCCTCTTCTGCCGGCCCAGCATCTCAAGTGTCGGGATGGCTGGTCACACAGCTGTCTCCTGAAGTTTACTATTCTGTAGCAGTATCCCGGGTCTGTCAACAGGATGGGAGAATGAATGGTACCTGTCAAAAGGCTCTTGGTTGTTCCATAGCTCTAAGAATACCAGTAATACACTCTCTTTACCCTAACCTGAAAGAAAGTGGAAATGGAGAAAGTGGGAACAAGCACAGGAGGCATGAGCTTGCACAGATCTGTGCTTCCATTTCTGCATAGTAGAAGGGATATTCACTCCAAAACCCACTGGTTTATTCACAAAAGATGAGGTGTAAGAAATTGTATGACACAAGGGGGAAGGTATTTTATGAGAACAGGTTCCTTCAGTTCAGTTCTCTCCCATGCCCTGAAGCAACACAGGGAAATGAGGCCTCCACAGGGCATTTCTTTGCTCTCAGCCGGGCTCTAAGAGATGGCTTGGAGGAGACATTTTGCCTCTGACCTTAGCACTGGACTATCTACCTCCATCTCCCTCAGCCTAAAGTCTCTGGATACTCTTAATACCCAGGGCTAATGGGGGTTGGAGAAAGGATCAACAAACTGATAGAAATTACTGAGGCCTGACTATCTAGAAATCTGCCCTTGCTCAAAGTTATTCCTCTGCAAAATTTTGCACAATCCAGACTTATACTCAACAGCCCTATAAATATCAAAAAGGAAAGGAAGAGAGTTTGTGGCTGGTGGCAGATATTCCTGTCCTTTCACCATCCAAACTGCTCATCCAAGTCATCAGTGCTACTTCAGGGGCAGGTGGCCAGGCTACGCTCTCTTCCTGCATACCCTTCCGGCAGCTCACACTGAGTTCTGCCTCCCACTTCTCCTGCGTACCCCTACCCACTCCCCTCACCCTGCCTCCTATGCTGGACTCTAATGAACAGACAGTGCTTGTCCGAGGCACTAAATGACAAGAAACCAGCCTGTCCCGGGTCCTAGTCCTGGTTAGGACACTAACTCCAGCTTTGATTTCCTCAGTGAGGAGGTCACAACTGAATACTCCCTGTGGTCCCTTTGAGCTCTAAAGGACCTTCATTTAGCTCCTCAGAACCTGTCCCCTCAGCTTCTGGAAAGCATGGGCCATTGTCCATGTCACAGGCCCAAGTGCCCAGGACAACAGACAACTCTAGGCTTCTGTTCAGAGGCAGGAGAGAGAGAACATGTCAGTCATTTGCCTGAAATAATTTCCCAACCTGTTTTTCTTCCTTGTAACTTTCCCAGTTTAATGCCAGTTAGTGGACCAGTCTGGCTATATGCTATATGCTTGTTTAATCCATAGAAAGATGCCAGCTGTCCTTCCTGCACACATTTTTCCATCTGGCCCTGGCTCGGCCAGTCCATGGTTTCTCATAATCCCCTCCACCTGCATCAGTGCCATGACATACATCAATGGGTCAGTCACTGAGGTGTAGTTCCCTGTGAAGGAAGAGGCCAGAGAAGCTGACAGGCCTGTGTCACCTTCCTGCAGAAAGACCTGCACAGGCAGCTGACTTGTGACCCCAAGGTGCCCTGTTTCCCTAAACTGTTTCTTGGAGGGGAAAAAGGTACCAGTGGCAAAGCCTTCATGTAATACAGCCCTTGTGTTAGATTTTCATCACTGTGACCGATAACTGAGAAAAACCACCTAAAGGAGAGGTCTAGGATGGCTCAAGGCTGCAGAGGTTTCAGTTCACAGTCCATTGTTATAGGCCTGGGGTGAGGTAGAAGGTGGTGAAGCAAAGCTGCTTTCACTTCATGGTGGCCAGGAAGTAGAGAGAGGGAAAGAGCCAGAGAGGAAGGAGCCTGCGACCAGTAGAGTCCTCAAGGTCACACACCTGTGATCCATTCTTCAACTAGGTCCCACCTCCTGTTTCCATCAAATTGTGATCTCATCAATAGGTTAATCCATGATGAAGGCAGAGCCCTCATGATCCAGGCACGTCCCCTAAAACACATCAGCTTACAATCAAGCCTTTAGCATGAGTTTTGGGGAGCATCTCATATCCAAGCTATAATATCTCTCCTAAAAGTTTTTCATGTGTGAGCACAGAAAAGGCTCTGAGAAGTTCCTGCTTTAAAGAGATGTTTGTGTTACCACATCTCCCTACCATATCACTGCAGAAATATCTCTTACCATTCCAAGATCAGTGCCCCAAGTAACAATGTCCATTGTATACTGAATGTTGCTGGTAAGAAGTGGAGATGATTCTAATTGCCCTGAGCCAGCCCCAAACCCTGTCTCCAGTCTTCCAGAGTCCTGAGCCACCTGACAAGACCAGGCAATGACTACAACTGAGCAGCCCAGGCAATGATTACAACAGTCAGGGCCCCATGGGTGGGAGCTGAAGCTGGGAGCCTAGATACGGCTCTCCTGGGGAGATGTGCTGGCACCGGGTCACAGTAAATGGGGTGTACCGTTGCCTTGTGTCTGCAGGTGAAAGCTGGCCTGGGAGTCAACGTCATTGGCCTGGTGATAGTGATGATAGCCATCAACACCTGGGGAGTTAGCCTCTTCCACCTGGACACCTTTCCAGCCTGGGCTAAGGTCAGTAACATCACTGATCAGGCCTAACACCAGTGGACAAACTGGCTGGGCCACAGGAGCTGCACTTGGCCAAATCTGCACCACAAAGAAAACCACCAGGAGCACACCCAGTCCCAGGCTGGAGGACATCCCTGCCATCTACCACCTACCATCTACCACCTCAGTCAAGAGCAGAGGTCCTCCAGCCACCACAGCCATGTCCTTGGCTGTTGGGGTCTTCTCCCCCACCCACCTGCCTTAGCACCATTGGTCAAAAAAACTCAAAACTGTTCTCTCTTCTGTGTCTAGTCCTCCTGATTGACTCTTTTGGAAGCCAGGAAAAGAAAGCCTGTCTTAGTTGCTCCTTAGGGATGAGGCCTCACAAACTGACCAGCCTCCCTAGGGTTTATGTAAAACATTCTCAAGAGTTGACGGAGATACCCAAACCATTCTAGTTTTGCAGACAGCGAAATCAGTGATGTCTCCTCTGGGAAAAAACCTGACCTAGAATTCGAGCCATCTCAAGTGTTTCTATCGTAAGTTTTCTCCACAAAAAAGCAATTGTTCCTGGGGATTTAGCTCAGTGGTTTCGCCGCTTGCTGCCCAAGTGCAAGGACCCGAGTTCGATCCCCAGTACCAAAAAAACAAAAACAGAAACAAAAAAGCCATTCTTACTAGGTCCTTTTTATCATTATTTTGATTCCATTTTAACAGTTTTCTTCAGTGGCTTCCCTTTACCTTGGCACCAAATTCCTGTAAAGAAAAATGTTCTCCTTGAGAAAGAGGTTGGCATTATTTTCTTTGTCAAAAGAAAAAGTAGAGAAAAGACACTTGTGATACTAACCAGAAATACCATTGTTTGGCCAAGTGTGGGAGGAAAACTTCATACTGGTCTTACTACAATTGAGACCAAAGCACTATTACTGCTATTACATTGGCTTGCTTCTGGTTTTAATGAGTACCTCCTATCCTGAGAAGACAAAGGTACTACTCAGAGGTCACTTCCTATGTGTGAGTGAGCCCCTTGAGAGAACAGAGATGTCTGTACATCTTGAGTGTGCCTGGGAAACATCTACCGTGTTGTATGCCAGGGCTGAGGACTTAGCTCAGAGCACTTTCATAGCATGTGCAAGGCCATCAGTTTGATCCTCAGAACTGCAAGAAGAAGCAAAAAATGTATAATGTTGTAAAATGTAGCTGCTCAATAAATGTCCCTGATGAGAAAAATCACTGCCAAGGAAGGCCTTTTTCCTCCAGACCATGCCATTTTCATTGCTGGATACAGCTCTCTTCCTCCAGTTTGCTGCCGTTACATTTCTGATTTCAACCATCAAATGCTTGCTAAATATGTCTTAGGGAAAAAGGAGTCTCCCATAGTTATTACTGTATTAACTGATTTTAAACTACTATCAATAGCATGTGCAGTTTCCCCACAATAATTGATCTATAAAAATCACACTTTTAGTTGGTCAAGGGAATATGAGTTGCAATACTTCTTTTAGGCCAGTCAACACACGCACAATGCAACCACAGACTGTGACTGGCCAGGTTTAACCAGAAGTGTTGCTACTTTTGCCCTGTCGACTGGCTTAGCCAACATTTGGCCAATTATAATAGTGAGCCCAAATGAAACACCAGCATTAGGTACGTTACTATTGGTTTGATCATCCCAGCCTCCCTACAAGTCAATTTACTTCAGCATGGTCAAGAGTCAGGGTGTTACTGCTATTGTCTGGTTAATTACATCATCCCATTTCTGAACCATTACTGAACTCAGACTCTAAGCCCCTAAACCAGATTCTGGGAACATAGTAAGAAAAAGAGAAAAAGCTGACTTAGAATTAAGTGCACTTAGAATTACTGGCCACTGTTCAGGTGTTTGAGCCTGAGTCACTCCTGAAGGGAAGCAGTGCCAGCTCTGTCTCAGCAGCTGCTGCCAGGGCCTCCCTTAAGCTGGCACCTCACTACTGTGTGGTTCACGGGCCGCCATCAGGACTGCCAGTGTTCCTTCCAAGTCCAGAGATTTGGGGCAAACAAGACAGCTTGTGCCAGTCATAGGGGATGACAGTCCCGTCACCTAAAGTCACTCCACCGTGGGCTATCTTCTAGCCCTTCTTAGTAGTCTCTTGGTGTTACAATTTGAGTATCTTCTAACATTGCACTATATGGATGGCAGAGCTCTGCGTGGTCATCTGATACCAGCTCACTTTCCAGATAATGAAACCAGGAGCCAAAGACACTAAACATAGCTGCACTTTATTCTCGTCAATTATGTAATCAAATTTGCTTAGTCAAAGTTGCCTTTGAAATTCCACAAAGTCACCCATTAAGGACATGGCATCCAATCTTTCACACTGGTATTTGTCACAAACCTTTGTACACTATCAATCTTTCAATTTTTAAAATTGCTACTTTTCTTTCCACTGCCAGAATGGATCCATTTCTTTACCTTACCATCAAGTGAAGTACAGCTGGGGTCTCTATATCCACAGATTCTGCATCAGTGGACTCAAACCCTCAACCAAACTCAAAAAAAAAAAAAAAAATTAAAAAAGAACTACATGTGTACTTAAAGTTTTTTGTCATTTACACTGTATTGGATGTTGTAATTAAAGGAGGATGTGCACGGGTCAGATGCAAATACTGTACCATTGCATGTAAAAGACTAGAGCACCTATAGTTTGTGGTATCCGCAAGGGTACAGGTGGAGGGCTGGAACCAACTCCCTGTGGCTACTGAGGGACTGACATCGCTGGCTGTTCACATATGGACTGGATTGTTTCAAACAGTATCTCCAAATGCCAGGACCTCTCAGTACTGCAAGATGCTCGAAACACCAGAACACAAAGGCAAAGAAGGGGACCTGAGGACACAGATGGCCAGTGCTGGGGCTCCTCTCACTGAAGGACTGCTGGACACAGCTCCTGTGCTGCGTGCACAGCTCCTCTGTCCCAACCTTGTACCTGCACAAACCTATGATGCAACTGCACACCTTTCACACAGTCCTGCCACCAAAGCAGTGATTGTGGCAGGCCTGGGACCCAGATTTTACAACAGCCCGCCCTGGGCACTTTGCATAAAACCTCCTTCAGCTCTTTCTTCTTCCCCAGTCCCTTGCACAATATGCCATCTGTTAGGTCTTTGCCTCTTGACTAAATACATTGCAACCAGACTTAGGAAAGATATAAGCTGAATACTTGAAATTCTAAGTACCACAAACTCCCTATTAAGACCAGGCAAGGTCTCAAAAGATTTTCCCTTCACCGCCCTGTTCCTTTCCACAAGGCAAGGCCCTAGTAGTCAGTAAGGAAAAAAGAACTAATTCATCTATGCAAGAAATGGAAATGCTACAGGCAAAACCCAAGACTGGCAGTTTAAGGAAAGTCTCATTTGCTCCAGTACAGTATATAGTGTTTCTCCAGGAGGAATAACTCAGAAAATGCATTTAAAATGTGGGAGACCTGAGCAGAAAAACAAACAGCACCACAGTATCTAGGGAGTGAACCGGCTAGTGGAAATGAAAACATTACACATGTGGCCATATGCGCTATAACCTGTACGCAGACAACTAGGAAAACCACACAGCTTTTCTCTGTACTCATATGAATGAGAATTATTGCGTTGGAAAAAAGGAAATAAATTACTTTTAAATCAAAAGCAGATAAATTGTTTAATTTCATGATTTGTTAATCAGAAGAAAAAGACTAAAGATGTTGATTTTTAACTTCAACTCATAAAATTTTGCTCTTTCGATTTTAAATATGGTTAATTTCTTTCCCTCTCCCTTTGTTTGGGAGGATTACAGTTTAAGTCTTTCATGTTAAATGTATTTATTAAGTTTCCAATATCAATCCTGACATGTCAGAGTAATCTATATTATTTTGAGTAACCTGCCCTTTGTAGTCAGGAGAAAGCTTCCTTAAAGCACATCAACAGTTTTCAAGTTTTTTTTTTCTGGTACCGGAGATCGAACTCCAGTCCTTGCGCTTGCGCAGCAGGTGGTGAAACCACTGAGCTAAATCCCCGGCCCTTTCAAGTATTTTTTAAGGTAAAGCAAAGGGCACATCTTGGTGGTCCTTATCGCTCTGTTCATCTGTGCAGCAAGGGTTCCTACCAAACATCCATCAGTCTCCATAAACCCATCCAATGCCTTAAAATCCATGATGATTCCACATTCCTTGAATATATATCTCAATACAGATCACCTTGCCTGAGAAAAATGAACTCTTTTTCACTGCTGCAAGAATGTAAAAATAGAAGGTACCTGAACAGTGGGTATGAAGTCAGCCTGTTTGACTATGTGTGATTTGTGTGGTGAAGCTGAACTAAAGGACTGATTAGCTGGTTGACACCTCTGGTAGAAATCATTCTAACAGCAAAGGCATGGGTCACTCCTGAGCAAGCCCTAAGTCAAAGTGAGCTTTGATTACAAAGTATGACATAAAGAGAGCTCATCTTCTAAGTGACCACTGTCCCCAAAGCTGTAACTCTGGGAGACCACACACATAGTCACAGTGCTTCCATGGGTGAAAAGAAGGATCCTTTTTTGGAAAGAGTTTGCTAAGTACGCCTTGGAATTCTGATTATCCTCAAGGGTGGTAAACCTTTGTCCTTTAAAGCTATAGTTTATTCTGCTAACAACCTAGTCCTTCAAGATCTCATCTTGTTAGCCAGGTGGTATACTGTAAATTTTCATCATTATCTAAGAAACTAACCACAGAATCTAATGACATATGTATTTTGCATGGTTCATGAACTGTTTCCATAAGTGACTCCAGAAACACAAGTAGCAGCAAGATGTTTGGACTATATCTGCTTACTGAACAATGTGTGTAATGCCACGTACATGGTCTTAATTATTTCTTATGGAAACCCTATGAGTAGACAGTATGCTCCCCTCTTAACAGATAATGCCAGTTTCAGAAAGCATACGCTGCTAGGGAGAGCCAAACCATATGGATCCCAACCTGCCACACACAAGGATGAGTCGTACAGAGATAAAACTTATCTCCATGTTTGAGAGTTCTGTTTTCAAAGGGAAGCAGAATCACTTTATTTTAGAATGACATATAGTATCACTGTTATGACTGTCTGAAAATAAGGTGTCACTAAGTAATCCTCCCATTTTATCAGTTCTGCTAACATTTCTTCAGAAAGGCATTACAGGTAAAATTGCCCAACAAGTCTTCTGAAACAAAACACAGGGCTGTGGATATAGCTCAGTGTAGGGCACTTGCCTAGCATGTGCAAGACCCTGGGTTCAATCACCAGTACTGGAAGAAAAAAATGTTTAAAGAAAATACCTAATGGACATTTACCTATACCAGTGCAAATTATATTTCTAGGACATTATCTTATAGCTACACCCTGCACAGACATGTGTAATAACATTAGATTCAATGTTATCACCATAATACCAAAAGAATAAACCAAACATTCATCAGTAGCAGATTAAATTATGGTATATCCATTCAATAGAATCTTATGCAGCCCAAAACAGAATGAGGTTTCTTGTTCTTTACATACTGGTATGGAATGATCTCTAATAACAGCTGAAAAAAAAACAGCTGGACATGGTAGCATGTCTGTAATACTAGCACTCTGGGAGGCTGAGAAGTGAGGATCCCAAGTTCTAGCTCAGTCTGGGCAATTTAGCAAGATCCTGAATCAAAATAAAAAATAAAAGAGCTGGAGGTGTAGCTCAATGCAAAAGCACTGGGTTCCATCTCTAGTACCATGGGGTGGGGGGAGGCAAGGGGCAGACCTGTACGTATGATTTTTGATCATTTGTGTAGATAAATGTGCGTGTGTGTGTGTGTGTGTGTGTTTGGCACAAACTCCTTCTCAAACCAGAGAGTAACAGTAACTGTATGAGCGAGGAGGAGGGAAGAGGCCTTTTTTGGGAAGTCACTTCTGTATCTTCACCCACGGGAAAAGTTATATATTAAACTATTTTAAATTTAAAAATACAGACTATGGCCAGGCATGGTGATGCACACCTGTTAATCCCAGCACTCAGGAGGTTGGGGCAGGAAGATCGCCACAAGTTCAAGGCCAGCCTGAGCTACATACTGAGTTCAAGTTCAGCCTAGAATACAGAACAAGACCCTGTCTTAAAAAAAAAAAAAATAGGCCGGGGATTTAGCTCAGTGGTTTTGCTGCCTGCTGCGCAAGCGCAAGGAACCAAGTTCAATCCCTGGTACCAAAAAAAAAATAGGCCGGGGATTTAGCTCAGTGGTTTTGCTGCCTGCTGCGCAAGCGCAAGGAACCAAGTTCAATCCCTGGTACCAAAAAAAAAATAGGCCGGGGATTTAGCTCAGTGGTTTCGCCTCCTGCTGCGCAAGCACAAGGACCCAAGTTCGATCCCCGGTACCAAAAAAAAAACCCCATAATGACTAGACATGTACCATCAGGTGTGCCTATAGTCTCTGCATCCAGGAGGCTAAAGCAGGAGGATCACTTGAGCCCAGGGGGTTTGAGACTAGCTTGGACTAAATAGTGAGACAACACCTCCAAAGGAAAAAAATGAATTATACAATTTGTAAGGCACAAATTAAAAGAGTAGTTTCTGATTACAGAAAAAAAAAAGCATCTATTGCAGAGAGGAGAAAAATCCTTCTCTTTGACATGCTGGGGTTTTGTGTTTATATGTGTTTATATGTGTATATGTGTGTGTGTGTGTGTGTGTGTGTTTGGTAGTACTAGGGCCTTCACTCTGAGCTACATCCCTGTTTTGAGACAGAGTCTCACTAAATCACTAAGTTGCACCAGCTGGGCTCAAACTTGCAATCCTCCTGCCTCAGCCTCACTGAGTACTGGGATTAGGAACGTATACCACCAGGTCTGGCTGAGGTACTCATTTTATTATGCATTTGGACCATACTTTCGATGGAACAATGAAAATCACTGAATTGCAATGTAAACAATTTTATTTTATACATATATATATTTTTTTCTTTCAAGTCTTTTGAGATTCTGTATAGTCTGGGCTGGCCCTGAACTCACTATGTAGCCCAGGCTGGCCTCAAACTCACAGAGATCCTCCTGCCTCAGCCTCCCAAGCTCTGGGACTACAGGCATGTGCCACCACACCTGGCAATAATTTTTTAATGTGGACTCTATCAACTTCATTTTGTAATGTCCAATGTACCTGTAACCTCCAGAAGGATTCTTTTGAGGGAAGAGTCAGATCCAATACATCATTAAGGAAAAACATGCATACATAATAATTTATGAACACTACTGAGACAAAAAATACTATTCTGCATATTTTTAATTCATCAGCTATTTATAAGATTCTTAGAATATATTTTCTCAATTAATTAATACAAAATTGACTTACTGGTTATCAGTATACTTGGTTATCAGTATACTTACTGGTTATCAGTTATACTTGCCTGAAAAGAGAATAAAATAAATGGATAATTTACTAGAAACTGGGGTCTGGATATTAATTTTAATACTTCAAAACAAAAAGTTTAGTAACAAGTGTTTAACAAGCACCCACTTTTATCACTAATTAATTCAGCATTATTTGTGTCTGATCAGCTATACAAACTTAGCAATTTTTGTTTTGACAAGAAGTAGGAATCCCAAAGAACAAGGGAGAAACTACTAAATAAAGGTCATGTTTGCCAACCTAGCCTAGCACCATAATTTCAGTCTTCAAGCCTCCCAAAGAGATGGAAGGAAGACATGAGAAGACTTGAGGAGCTGAAATTGTGAAGCGTAGTTCTTGACTTGGGGCCCTGTTTTTGCTCCGAGGCAACACAGTCTAGCAAAGAGGAAAATCGCTGAGGCTGGTGACACAGAGCTACGGGATCAGGAGGTCAGGGATGCTGCTCAGAGGCAGGAGGGCAGTGTGTACAGAACGAAGAACTGCAGTAGCCTCAGGAACTAGGGGGTTTCTTCTTGGCTTCCAAGTCCTTTTTAATCTCTTCAAGTTTTTTAGCCAGGTTTGGTATCTTTAAACAGAAAAAAGGATTATTATAATTTTGCATCTACCTACTAATTATTCTTTGATTACTCTTCCTCCAAGGATAAATGGTTTCACAGGTTTTTCTTTTCCTCTGAAAGGGACTTTCTGAATAGTGCTGTTTCCTAGCCTTTAACTGCAAGTGAAGGATTGCAGAAGTTTTAAGCTCCTGGTCCCTCTCTAAGCAGACTCTGACTTCCACTTGCAGAGACACACTTAGCCCTCAATCCAGTGCAGGTGAAAGCTGCACATGTAAGCAGTAAATGTGATATAAAGCAAGAAAGCCCCTGCTAGAGAACCATAACTCAAGCAAAGGCTGACAAAGGGAAAGACCTTGCCACACAAGTTCATGTTTCCCTTACTTGTTTGTTTGGAATACCTTCTAGAGCCCTCACCCATGGGCAGATGCGCCACCCAATCTTCAACTTCCCCATCTACAAATAAGCTTAATGCTGCAATTTCCACTTCACACTGTTTAGATCCATGTCCAAAATTCTAAGACATCTCTGCTACTGGACAAGGGAGTTGAAAAGATCATCAATTAATCTTTAAAGTTTCACAGATCGTGATTTTCCTCGGAGCCAACTTAGAATGACTCTGGGCTAACACACACAACAGCTTAGGCTCCTCCTGAGACCACCTTAACTGATGGACTCTTGCCCTCTTGTGGTGATACAGAGGACAGAGCTTCTGTGCATTAGATTGTATTTTTCAAATACAGTAGAAATTTTTCTATAAAATTCAGGACTTTTCCCTCATATTTATGGCCTCACTTAAGCAATTTACCTCAACAAAGAAAAGAGACTATGGAATAGTTACACAGAATCAAATAAGACATGAATATGGCCACTTACGTCATAGTTCTGAGCCAGGTACATTCCCACCACGTTGCCAAAAGTAAATCCAAGCTGAAAGAACAGAAAAGGAAGAGTCACACTGCACACTGGGTCCAACCAAACACATGAACAGTATCTTCCTGTGGGCTCAGAACAGTGAGGGACCCTGGTGTCTAGTCTAAGATGGTGTAGAATGTGAAATCCACATTTTTCTTCTATAAAACAGAGACACACTCTCTCCCAAAAGGTTAAAGAGTATAAAAAAAGAAAGACTAAATGGTGGCAATGAACAAATCTACCCTAAATTCTCCTTATCCCCTCATATCTCCCCAATATTTTTTTCTTTCTTTGGTTATGGGTGCTGCCATTCCTCTCTATATCAAATAAAAATTATTCAACTAAAATATATTCAGCTGAATAAGAGAATCTTAGAGAATGAAGGAATGTTCATCACGGTCTAATCTCTTCATATTTCAAAAAGGAATATGAGGCCCAGGTTGGTAAAGTGACTTGTCCAGGGTCATTCACAACAGGGAACACAAGACAACATTTCACTACATAGACTCAAAACTAAAACTGCAATGACAGAAAGGAGTGGGAAACTCCTGACACATCTCCGAGCTTTCAGCTCTTCCCCCGATGGGTCTTCAGGAAGAGGGGTCCACCTCAGTGACAGGCACAACTTTTAGAGAACATATTTACCCCACTGGGTTGACTATTTTCCTGAGTAAACACTGTTTCATGAAAATCCAGAGTATGCTTTACACATCAAGAAGGCTGACACTCCTTACCTTTGAGGTTTAACAATTTTCACCCTACTAAGAGCTTCCAATGGAACCGTAATTTCTCATTCCATAAATTCAAATTGGCATTCACTTTTTTCATCATTTTGTGTAGTCAGTTTTACTTCTGGGCAATCACAGGAGGCAAATTAAAACTGAGAAAGTGTGGTCCTTACATTATCAATCAGACATGGTGGGATCCACCCTTATCTTCAAATTGGGGTGGCGCAGGGAGAATGGAATATGACTTCCTGTGCTTCCTCACTGTGCTTCTGCTTTCTGAACCTTACACGGCAAAAGCATAACTGAAGTTGGTTTGGTGTTATCAAATTAAGAAACGTAAAAGAGGCTACTGAGTGTCTCATCACTGACCATTTCTGGTCATTTAACTAGATAGCTTTCAAAATCATACTTTTACCAAGGTGGCAAAATGATTTTTTTTCACCCTTCTATACTGAAACCAGGCAGACAAGAGGTTTTCCAAATGCAGAAAGATAACTGAATTTAATTAAAAGAAAAAAAACCCAGAAATATTAATTCTAACACCAAAAGGAAACCACATGAGATTGAACAAATGACAAGAAAAATAAACGAGAGTTCTGCTTCTACCACTCTTATCTGTACTTTGAAGCAAGACACTTAACTTCTCCACAGCTTTGCTGATTTGAGCTTCCTGATTTAAAAACCATTATAATACAAACATAATGTTCCAGCTCCCATATTCTAAGGTTCTTACCATGTGCCCCCAAATCAACATAGCCAATTGAATGTGGCTTCATTTTGGCAAATTCACCACACGAAAAACTAGAAGTTATTTTAAGACATAAAACAAATAAAAAATCAAGGGCCTAAAGACAAGTCACCTCCACTTCATGTTTCAGATCTGCTGGGTGTGGTGGCACATGCCTATAATCTCAACACTCTGCAGGCTAAGGCAGGAGGATCTTGAGTTTGAGGTCATTCCGGACTCCACAATGAGTTTGAGGTCAGTCTGAGCTACATAGCAAGATGCAGTATAAAAAACAAAACAAAACAAAAAACTACCACCTCTAACACTGGGACATTTTAAGTCTAATATACAATTCAACAATAAGAAGTGTCACTCATTAAGAGAAATGTTAAGACCCAGATGTGAGAATGGATACCTGTAATCCCAGCACTCTGGGAGGCTGAGGCAGGAGGACTACCATGTTTAGCCCAGCCTGGACAATTCAGTGACTTAGTGAGAGTTCTCTCAAAACAAAAGGGGGTGGGGGGAGAGACTGGGGATGTAGCTCCCTGTGAAAGAGCTGGTTCAATCCCCAGTACCTCTAAAAGACAGGGAGGGAGTGAAGGAGGAACAGGGAAGGAGGAGGGAGTGCAGAGAGAGAGCCAGTGAGAGACAGATAGATAAGGGAAAACACCTAAGCCAAAAAAAGCATGTATTATTGTTCATGAGATGGTCAACAGACAGGTTTAGTCAGGAAAAATAAAATCTAAATCTGAGAAACTGACAGTCTGAGCAGTCAGACTGAAACCAGATTAGGGAAGTCTTGAAAAATCTGAAACATCTCTACAGGCCAAGAATGCTTAACTTCTTCCGGGGAAGCCTTATCCATATAGCTCTGTAAACTGGAATTCCTTGGAAAGAGGACTAATATCTAGACTATATAAAGAATTCAAAAATATTAGCCCCTCACAAAATAAAAGACCCATCTGAAAAATGGGCAACTGAAATGAAGACCTTTTCAGAATTAGTACAAATGGTCAATAAATACATGAAAAACTGTTCAAATCTGGCTACTAGAATAATGCAAAATAAAACAACACTGAGATCCCACCTTACTCCAGAAAGAATTGCCATCATCAAGAAATCAAGCACAGGGCCGGGGATTTAGCTCAGTGGTTCTGTGGCCTGCCTCGCAAGCCCAAGGACCGGAGTTCGATCCCCGGTACCAAAAAAAAGAAATCAAGCACCAACAAATGTTGGCAAGGCTGGTGGGAGGGAGGCTCTCTACGTTGTCAGTGGGAGTGTAATCTAGTACAACCAGTATGGAGATTTCTTGTAAGAGTAATTTGGTTTGACCCAGATATTCCCCTTCTGGGTATCTTCTCCAAAGGGCTAAAGACATTGTATTACAGTGATGCATACATACCCCTGTTCATAGCAACACAGTCACAACAGATAAATCTCGTAAGTGGCCTGTGTGTCCATTAACAGATGAATGGATAAAGAAAATGTAGTATTTACATACCATGGTGTGCTACTCTATCATAAAGAAGAATAAACAAGTATGAGTACACCCTGAGACAATAATGTTAAGTGAAATAAATTGGACACACAAATATTACATGGTTGGTCTTTTATGAAGAACCCAAAATAGAACAGCAAAATAAAAGATAACAGGAAATAGGGAGATAGATCTTTCTGTAAATAGGAAGAGGACCAGGAGACGGGAGGCAGGGGGAGGGAAGGGGAAGGAATGAAAAATAATTGTTACACACAGGTACAAACTTTCCACAAGGAATGTAATCATTATGTACTGCAAACATGTACAAATAAAAATTAAAATTTGAAGGAAAAAAAAGCTCTGTAAACTTTACAGGGATAGCTTCACATGGCCATTCCCCTCTCCCAAAAGTATTCTCTGAGAGAAGGCAGAGAGAGAAATGAAATGCCTTCTTACCAAGCTCAGCTCAGCAATGACTACATTACTGTCACACCCTTTGTAACAATCCTGAAGTTTCAGGGTATGAAAAAGTGGTCGCAGCTCACACACACAATGGAAACAAGTGGTACCACATTAGCTATCTGGGGACAGGAGTGATAAGAAGAAAGTGGTAAATAGGACAAATATTAAAAAGAAGTGGGGAGCTAACACCCAGAACAGGAAGACGGAGAAGGGCCAAGAACAGTGTACAAGACAAGAATGGCATTTCCGGCTCTGCAACTGCAGAGTACACTTAGCATCTGTGAAGCCCTGGTCCATCACCCACAACCCCGCACCCTCAAGCCCCATCTAATCCATTTCATTTTTAGCTCATGTGGCAGCAACATCACACCAACGCTGAACTGGTATATGACTGCAGTCCACATCATACTTTAGTGTGAATAATCATTTTTTGCTATGGAAATAGAAATCTTTAAATATAGGACCCTGACTTCAATTCTCCCGAAGAATATGTTTAACAATAAAAATTTACCCAGCCATGGCAGTGCATGCCTGAAATCTCAACACTTGGGAAGCTTAGACAGGAAGATCACCGGGCATTCAAAGCAGCCTGGGCTACATAGTGAGTTCAATACCAGACTATAAACCACATAGGAAGACCCTGTCTCAAAAAAAAGTAATGCATTTGATTACAAAGTGCTATCCAGGCCCTGCTAGCATCAAGTTATATATAGCTTATTGTAAAATCTGAAAGAAATCTGATTTCCCAAATATATCCACACCTAAAGATTTTAAGGGATAACAGACTGCTGTATACTAAAATTAAGTTCATATTCAGCCCTGTGAAAGGACTAAATACAGTCTCTGTCCTTAGATATACAGGAAGAAAAGCTACACATAAACACAAAAGCCACGGGATCCTGAATATTCCAGATACTCCAAAACCAGAACTAGGTCATGCATTAAGGGACAGAATGAATGACAGAGAAGGAGTTGTTTTAAGAACTATGCCTGAAAGAGAGGCATATCACAAGCTGTTTAAAGGCTCTGAAGATGTTGTTAAAATTTAAACTGTGAAAAGAACTGAGAAGGGAACCGAACACAGAGAAACAAGATACAAGACAGGAAAGATAGGATGACTAGAATAAAAGAAATAGGCCAGATTAGAAAAGAAGACTTTTGGTCAGGAATGGAGAGAAATATGCCTGGAGAGCTGGGCAGGACTAGCTGATGCACTTTAAAAAGCAAGGAAAGAGCCAAGCACGGTGGCTCACACAGTTGGGAGGCTGAGGCAGGAAGATCACTGTGAGTTCAAGGCCAGCCTGGGCTACAGAGCGAGATCCTATCTTAAAACAAACAAAAAAAACAAAACAAAAAAAGAATTTCCTTCTGGGGCAATAATGGTCTGGAGCTACTGAGTGATATTCAACTGCAGAGATATGATGAAACCACTGCTTTAGAAGCACTCGCCCAAGTAGGTGTACCCAAACAAGGCTGAGAAAGTACAGAGTAAAGACAGACCCCACATCAGAGTGGTGCCATATAGGACAGACAGTAAGCAAATGTGAATATGATAAAAATAAATGGAGTAGAGAATCCAGGAATACATCTTCACATTTACAGTCAAGTGACTGGCAAT